ATGTAGATGTCTATGGACCACAGCAACCACTTACCATCAGGTGGACTGTGTGCTCGTTTGTCAACCTATCCTATAAAAAAAATAGATGTAGATGTCTATGGGCCACAGCATCCACTTGCCATCAGGTGGACTGTGTGTTCGTTTGTCAACCTATCCTATAAAAAAAAAATAGATGTAGATGTCTATGGACCACAGCATCCACTTACCATCAGGTGGACTGTGTGTTCGTTTGTCAACCTATCCTATAAAAAAAATAGATGTAGATGTCTATGGGCCACATCAACCACTTACCATCAGGTGGACTGTGTGTTCGTTTGTCAACCTATCCTATAAAAAAAATAGATGTAGATGTCTATGGGCCACATCAACCACTTACCATCAGGTGGACTGTGTGTTCGTTTGTCAACCTATCCTATAAAAAAAATAGATGTAGATGTCTATGGGCCACAGCATCCACTTACCATCAGGTGGACTGTGTGTTCGTTTGTCAACCTATCCTATAAAAAAAATAGATGTAGATGTCTATGGACCACAGCATCCACTTACCATCAGGTGGACTGTGTGTTCGTTTGTCAACCTATCCTATAAAAAAAATAGATGTAGATGTCTATGGGCCACAGCATCCACTTACCATCAGGTGGACTGTGTGTTCGTTTGTCAACCTATCCTATAAAAAAAATAGATGTAGATGTCTATGGGCCACATCAACCACTTACCATCAGGTGGACTGTGTGCTCGTTTGTCAACCTATCCTATAAAAAAATAGATGTAGATGTCTATGGGCCACAGCATCCACTTACCATCAGGTGGACTGTGTGCTCGTTTGTCAACCTATCCTATAAAAAAAATAGATGTAGATGTCTATGGGCCACAGCAACCACTTACCATCAGGTGGACTGTGTGCTCGTTTGTCAACCTATCCTATAAAAAAAAATAGATGTAGATGTCTATGGACCACATCATCCACTTACCATCAGGTGGACTGTGTGCTCGTTTGTCAACCTATCCTATAAAAAAAATAGATGTAGATGTCTATGGACCACAGCATCCACTTACCATCAGGTGGACTGTGTGCTCGTTTGTCAACCTATCCTATAAAAAAAATAGATGTAGATGTCTATGGGCCACAGCAACCACTTACCATCAGGTGGACTGTGTGCTCGTTTGTCAACCTATCCTATAAAAAAAATAGATGTAGATGTCTATGGGCCACATCAACCACTTACCATCAGGCGGACTGTGTGCTCGTTTGTCAACCTATCCTATAAAAAAAATAGATGTAGATGTCTATGGACCACAGCATCCACTTACCATCAGGTGGACTGTGTGTTCGTTTGTCAACCTATCCTATAAAAAAAATAGATGTAGATGTCTATGGGCCACAGCAACCACTTACCATCAGGTGGACTGTGTGTTCGTTTGTCAACCTATCCTATAAAAAAAATAGATGTAGATGTCTATGGACCACATCATCCACTTACCATCAGGTGGACTGTGTGCTCGTTTGTCAACCTATCCTATAAAAAAAATAGATGTAGATGTCTATGGGCCACAGCATCCACTTACCATCAGGTGGACTGTGTGTTCGTTTGTCAACCTATCCTATAAAAAAAAATAGATGTAGATGTCTATGGACCACCGCAACCACTTACCATCAGGTGGACTGTGTGTTCGTTTGTCAACCTATCCTATAAAAAAAATAGATGTAGATGTCTATGGGCCACATCATACCACTTACCATCAGGTGGACTGTGTGCTCGTTTGTCAACCTATCCTATAAAAAAAATAGATGTAGATGTCTATGGGCCACATCATCCACTTACCATTAGGTGGACTGTGTGTTCGTTTGTCAACCTATCCTATAAAAAAAAATAGATGTAGATGTCTATGGGCCACAGCAACCACTTACCATCAGGTGGACTGTGTGTTCGTTTGTCAACCTATCCTATAAAAAAAATAGATGTAGATGTCTATGGGCCACAGCATCCACTTACCATCAGGTGGACTGTGTGTTCGTTTGTCAACCTATCCTATAAAAAAAATAGATGTAGATGTCTATGGACCACAGCAACCACTTACCATCAGGTGGACTGTGTGTTCGTTTGTCAACCTATCCTATAAAAAAAATAGATGTAGATGTCTATGGACCACAGCATCCACTTACCATCAGGTGGACTGTGTGTTCGTTTGTCAACCTATCCTATAAAAAAAAATAGATGTAGATGTCTATGGACCACATCATCCACTTACCATCAGGTGGACTGTGTGTTCGTTTGTCAACCTATCCTATAAAAAAAATAGATGTAGATGTCTATGGGCCACAGCATCCACTTACCATCAGGTGGACTGTGTGTTCGTTTGTCAACCTATCCTATAAAAAAAATAGATGTAGATGTCTATGGGCCACAGCAACCACTTACCATCAGGTGGACTGTGTGTTCGTTTGTCAACCTATCCTATAAAAAAAATAGATGTAGATGTCTATGGACCACAGCATCCACTTACCATCAGGTGGACTGTGTGTTCCTTTGTCAACCTATCCTATAAAAAAAATAGATGTAGATGTCTATGGGCCACAGCAACCACTTACCATCAGGTGGACTGTGTGTTCGTTTGTCAACCTATCCTATAAAAAAAAATAGATGTAGATGTCTATGGGCCACAGCAACCACTTACCATCAGGTGGACTGTGTGTTCGTTTGTCAACCTATCCTATAAAAAAATAGATGTAGATGTCTATGGGCCACAGCAACCACTTACCATCAGGTGGACTGTGTGCTCGTTTGTCAACCTATCCTATAAAAAAAAATAGATGTAGATGTCTATGGGCCACCGCATCCACTTACCATCAGGTGGACTGTGTGCTCGTTTGTCAACCTATCCTATAAAAAAAATAGATGTAGATGTCTATGGGCCACAGCAACCACTTACCATCAAGTGGACTGTGTGCTCGTTTGTCAACCTATTCCTATAAAAAAAGAACTTTATTTCATTTCTTTTTTATTAGTTTGTTTGTGAAGTGAAATTTTCATTTATTGCTCGCCACAAACTACAAAAATGTCTTAACATTAAACTTGGGGGTTACTGATGGGTTGAGCGCTTAGCCCTAAAAAAGCAATAACATGTTTTATATAATTAAAGGGACATTAAAATATAAAATATAATAAAAGGGGTATCTATTTACCATCTTGTGCGTGTTTGTTTGTCATCCTTACTAGAGGCACAGTGGTGACACTCCCTTAGAGAGCTTAAGCGCCGGTGACCTTGAGTCGAAGCGTGTAACGCTAGGGTTGGTATCGAACCGAAATGGAATATTATAGACTTTTACCAAAAAAGATACATAGTAGGTTTACGGTATATATTATGTAAACTTATGTATTTGGGTAGTGAAAGATACGTTCAATTTTAAATCAACTTTTATTAAATATCTTTACAAATGAGGCATATTAAAACTTCCGACAAAACCAAATATGCACGACAGTTAATGGTAATCATAAATAATTAACCAACACTTAGTATTTCAGTACGCAATAATCAGTATTACCTACCATCCTTTAAAAATTAGTTTACTCTTATATATTTTTGAATTTTTCGATTACTTTTATAATTTTCATTATTATTTCTAACAATTGCAAAAATTCGTTGCATGTATAATTTTTTATACATACATAGACAGATATATATATATATATATATATATATATATATATATATATATATATATATAGATACCGTCGTATTAAGATATCAGTATTTGAATATTTCATATATTAATTGAAATATTATAATATCACTTGACGAATATATTCATATTAACTAATACTGACAAATATCGGTATTACTACTAGCCCTCGGCCAGGGCAGCCGGCGACTGCTCGTTCCACGCCCCGCGCGCCTCTCAAGGCCCCCCGCGCACATCCATACACCACATACACATACACATAGCCGCAAGCGATTTTACGTGCACACATGCTTAAGTGTCGTTTCTTTTCGCGTAGTGTATATGTATATTCTTTGCTAGAGGTAATACATAAAAAACTGATGCAATAAAAGGTAAATAAATAAATACAAACGACTTGTCCAGTGCTGGGTACAGGCCCCTTCTAATTATAAGAAGGCGAAGGAAGAAAGACGTGTTCATTTGTTAAATTTTTCAAACAGTTTTCCTCTCGACGTTTTGTTTTCTCACCGAGCACTTGGTAAATCAGTACTTAAAATTGCAATTAATAAATTACAAATCACATTTTTGTCCATGGGGATTGAACCTGAGTTTCTTGCGTACTTTGACCACCCTCCTCTAAAGCAAATCATTTGTACTATTATATCAAAAATAGTGTTGTTGTTTATTCAACATCGCCACTCGTTTCATCCCTGTTAGGACTATGTGGAATCGTACTCGTATAACAGGGATGGTCGGAGTGGCGAGAACTATTATTTGTTAGTGCAATTTAACTTTCTTTGGTTTATGATGTCCTGGTACATTCGTCGCCACCAACACGTGTTTTCAGCTTTTGTCGAACAGTTGTGAAAATTCGAATGTTCATTTTTTTAAATAATTTAAACTTTATTTGTTCATTTATTTCATGTAATATATATAAGTTGTAAACCTATAAAATCTACACACAAATACGCACACAGACACACACACACACACACACACACACACACACACACACACACACACTCACACACACACACACGCACTCACACACACACGCACACACGTGTTATTATGTTTCTTGTTTACACGGATTATTTATACATACATATATACGGTACAGCTCGTTGGTAGATTAGACGATGTATTACAAGATGATAGAAGCACTTTTAATGAAATAATAATAATAATATAATATTATATAACATTTGATGTCACCGAACTCGAACGGCTACGACGTGAGGCTCTTCCTTCATCGGATGAAACTGCTACGGCTGAGGATGCGGCGCCACAACTTGCAGAGCAACCGGCAAACGTGGATGCCGCCGTGAATACCCCAGTTTTGGTTGATTCAAACGATGATGGAACAGTCGCCCAGGAACTGGAACTGGAGCAAATGAGGAGTACATTGGATGAGGCAATTTTGGAAACGCGCAGTACGCCTCTCGAAAATCAACCGCGACTTCCCCGCATAGCCCTCAGCAAGCGGAATCGGGCTATCGTGAGGGCTCTGAACCCAATGCTGGTGACCTATTTGGAAGCCAGCCGGGACCTTTGCGAGACGGACTCAATTCTCTTAGGCGCTGCACTGGCAGTCTGCCGTATTATAGGCGCCAAACTTTCCACGGCTGGACGCATTACTGGACAAAGTAGTGCTATCCCAGCCTTGAGAACAAGAATTGAAGAACGTATCGCAAAGGCTAGGGCCCTCATCGGCAGACTGATATGCTTCAGGTCAGGCAATACCAAGCCAAGGATTGTGCGCACCGTCAGGATGGCGTTTGCTGGATATAATGCAAAAACTGACGGAGCGCATAGACGACCTGAAGCCGAGAATCGCTGCTTGGGGAAAGCGGATTCGGCGATATACCGAGAGGTCGACACGGTTCAACTAGAATCGTCTCTTCCAGAGTGATCAGAAGAGGCTCCATAAATCATTGGAGCGACCAATGGTAAGTGGAACGGGCCCAGTACCGAATCAGGTCAACACGGTCGCATTCTGGCGCAGCTTGTGGTCAGAGCCCGTAAACCACAACGAGGGCCCTTGGACGGAAGTTGTGGCGAGTCAGTGTGCGGGTATTACGCCCATGGATCCCGTCATCATAACGCCGGATGACGTAGCTAAGGCGGTCAAGGAAAAGTCCGGGGCTCGACGGGCTGCATCACTACTGGCTGAAGGGGTTCATGGTGTGTCATGCTGTGCTCGCTCGACAGTTTCAAGAGGCTCTCAACCAGAAGTCGTTCCCGAGCCTCTTCACTACTGGGATCACTCATTTGGTTCCTAAAGATCAGGGTGCCACAGACCCGAGCAAATACCGCCCCATCACGAGTCTACCGACCATATACAAGACACTAACATCCATTTTGAGCGCGAGAATCACTCGTCACCTGGACTCAAATCAGGTGATGTCACGCGCTCAAAATGGATGTCGGGGCGGCGGTCGTGGAACCAAGGAACCACTCCTCATTGACGCAGTCATTAGCAAAGTGGTGAAACGCAACCGTCGGAACTTCTCCGCCGCCTGGATAGATTACAGAAAGGCATTTGACTCGGTGCCCCATACATGGCTACAGAGGGTCCTCGAGCTGTACAAGATTGACTGTACAGTTCGAAACTTCCTCGAGCAATGTATGGGGTAGTGGAGTACGATCCTCTGTCATCTAGGCGAGCGGATGACGGCTGCGGAAAGCCGCATAAGGATAAGAAGGGGTATATTCCAGGGCGACTGTCTGAGTCCAATCTGGTTCTGCCTCTGTTGGAACCCTCTCAGTACTTTACTGGAGGTCTCCGGGAGGGGATTTCAGCTTCGGAAAGTAGGTACAAAAGTGACCCACCTTTTCTATATGGATGACCTCAAATTATTCGCCTCCAATCGCTCCCATCCTATGGAATTGCTAAACATCACTTGTGAATTTAGCAATTCTCTTAGAATGGAGCTGGGGACGGATAAGTGTGCGGTCCTCCATGTTGAAATGGGAAGGGTTGCTAAATCTGAGGGCATAGACTTATCTATGCCCGTCAACTTAAGGACCCTTTCCGAGGCTGAAACATATCGATACCTGGGTATGTCACAGAACATCGGTATCGATGAGGCTGGTATGAAACAGTCAGTTTGCGACGTGTTTTATGCACGCTTGACCAAAGTGCTTAACAGCCTTTTGTCCGGTGTGAATAAGACATACGCATATAACGGCTGGGTCATGCCTGTCCTCATGTATATCTTTGGCATACTCAGGTGTAGTCAGACTGAACTAAACGCTCTGGATAGAAAAGTCCGCACTACAATGACGTCCCATAGGATGCATCATCCGAGATCGTCGGTAATGAGGCTGTACTTGCCGCGAAAGCATGGTGGGCGTGGCTTCTTGAGCGCGCTCACCATTCATAATCGCGAAGTGTGCAGCCTCCGTCATTACTTCCTGGCGAGATCGGATGATCCATTCTATAATGACGTCATTTCTAGTGATAAAGGACTTACCCCTCTATCCTTAGCCAACGAGCAATGGCAGGACCCGGCAGTACAGATCATTTCCGACCGGGAGACCGTATGGAAGGAGAAGGAGCTCAACGGGAGGTACTACAGCGCTCTACATGAGCCCCACGTATATACAGCCGTCTCCCTCTACTGGCTACGTTTCGGTGACCTCTTCGGGGAAACCGAGGGTTTTGTCTGTGCAATACAGGATCAGGTTATTAAGACCAACAACTATCGGCGATACATCCTAAAGGATGGCACTGTCGACGTCTGTCGAGCTTGTCGCCATCCCGGGGAGTCACTAAGGCATGTCATCTCTGGTTGTTCGGCGCTTTCTAACTCTGAGTACTTGCACAGGCACAACCTAGTAGCCAGAATTCTACACCAGGAGTTCGCTCTGAAATACGGGCTCGTGGACCGGAAATTGCCGTATTACAAGTACTTGCCGGAAGCCGTGCTCGAAAATGACCGTGCCAGGCTCTACTGGGACCGGGCCATCATCACGGGCAGGACTATTCTTGCGAATAAGCCTGATATTGTGCTGATGGACCGGGCACAGTCAAGGATATTTTTGGTCGACATTACCATTCCGTATGACGAGAACCTCGTGAAAGCCGAAACAGATCCAAATATCTGGACCTGGCTCACGAGGTGACCGACATGTGGGGTGGTATGCCGGCCGAAATTATTCCTGTAGTCGTCTCTGCGAATGGGCTAATCCCAGTCAGCTTCTCGGGTCATCTGAGGCGACTGGGACTCCGTGACGGACCGCTCCGGGCTCAAATGCGGAAGGCGGTGCTCCCCCGATACCGCCCGCATCGTCCGGCGGTTTCTTTCCCTTTCCTCCTAACCCTCGGCCGTTTGGTCTCCCCTGCCGAGGGCTTCCATCTAGTTGGGCTTTTATTTATTTATGTATTTTTGTATTTATTTTATTTTAATTATATTTATGTATATTTATCTTTTCATTTTAATTTATAATTATATATTTATAGAACCCAACCAAATGAGAAAACTATATAGATACTCCACATAATAATAATAATAATTTATTGAGAAATAAAACCTTAAACATAACAAAATGTTATCGTAGATAAATTGTAACAAGATGTGTAGCAGAAGGGACTTATAGATAAGTTGATCCTCTGACTTTCATGTTATGATAACCTGTGTTTTGAAAGTCAGTGATTCGGCTCCTTAAAAGGTATTCTATATTATAACATAGCATAGCGAGTTGATTTAATTGGTGATTATATTATGGCGAGCATTTGAAGAGGAGGCAGTTAAGGAAAAAGAAAATACAAAAAAAATTAAAAATAAAAGTAAAACATTGTAGTATAGATAATAATGTAATGGATGGAGTGTATAATATGTGTGTGTGTGTTCAAAGCTTCAGTGGCACTATAATTTCATTCATGAAGGTACGAAATTACCTTTTTTTAACTTCGTAGGCGTTCAACTTATTTGTCTGCAACTTTTTGTCGAGTATATTGTATAAATAATAAATATAAAATATTTTAATTAAATGATTATATTAATAAAAACATTACTTTCAAAATTATAATTTTCAACTTTAGTGTCTATTTTATGATGAATAGTAGTGTTTATTAAACTTCTCGAGTTCTCATCAGATCTCGACGATCGCGTGGGTGCGTAAGTGCATGCGTGCGTGCAGCTGCGTGCGTGCGTGCGTGAGTGCGTCCGTGCGTGCGTGTGTGCGACATCCATGGGACGATATGAGGTGGTGAATTTTTTATTTGTCGCCAAAATATTGTATAATACTTTTGTGGACATTTACTTCATTTTCATAAGTTTAGATGAATAACCAAAAATAATGGATTAGAATAAAGAAGACGAATATTTATAGAGTTGTGAGTTGTAAAACTATTTTTATTGATTTATGACAGTAAGTTAATAAACTTGTGACTGTAGATTATAAAATAGGCGTGCTTCACCTCAATGGAGTAGATACATTGGCCAATAGGCATTTATATCTAAGAACCTTGATTAAATATCAAAATGTAGAACATTGTCATCCCTGAGGACTCGTAGAATGCCTTGTTATCAGTTTACAGGTTCACTTTTTTTCACTCGCCATACCATTGTGGCCCTGGAAGGAAAAGGGGAGACTCCCGCCGGGCAAGGTATTCTGACCGGGGAGCGGCCAACACTCCATGTGATAGTTCGGAGATGTTCTATATATACTGTTTATGATTCGGAATGTTGATAGCGTGATTTAGACTTCGGTGTATTTCGCTTGCTGCGCGACGACAGCGCCACCACATCACCCCCTGCTCAGACTGGAGATCGATAGTGCAGCCTCGTTGCCAACGAATGTGCAAGTGCCAGGAGATTGCCTTGTAGTCTGCGGTGAGTCGAGAAGAAGGCAAGTAATCTGCGAGAGTGCCGTGAAGCAGAGGCGAGCAGTGAGGCTCAGAGCCGTGCCGAACACTGTATAGCGCAGAGAGTAGCTTGAAGGAACAGGAAGCATTATTATTCCAATGCTGCGATGAACCTTGTGAAGTTAGATGGCTTGCAGGATATGAAGTCTGCAGAGGATATCTGCTCGGGAGCAAATGGGTGGGGTATTCTATGATGATGATGAAGCTTGAAGTTTCCGAAGGTTGTTGGTTGCGTGTTCAGATCACGTCGGGTGGTCACCACTGTGGCCGTGGAAGGAAAAGGGGAGATCTCCCGCCGGGCAAGGTGTTCTGCCCGGGGGGGGCCAACACTCCATGTGATAGTTCGGAGATGTTCTACATATACTGTTTATGATTCGGAATATTGATAGCGTGATTAAGGCTTCGGTGTATTTCGCTTGCTGCGCGACGACAGCGCCGCCACACCATCATTGGTTACAACTCATCTAAACCATTTTTCAACGAAACGGGCTGCAGTAGCCCCTTACAATCAATTGAACTGATATGGTAGGGACACGCTACGATTATATTGTTACGAGCTTAGGGTTCGTGAAAATAAAACCTGCCGATTGAATCAAAATACACTAATTACCAAACACCAATTAAGATTTAAAACATACTAATAATTAATCACACTTAACCCTTTAGTTACCGACATAGCCCAACGGATTAGTAAGCCGAAGTGGCAATTGGCCGGCCATATAGCTTAAAGAACCGACAACCTTTGGGGAAAAAATTGTTCTCGAGTGGCAGCCTCGTACCGGTAGGCTAAGTATAGGGTGACCCCCCACTAGATGGAGTGATAACCTGGTAAGAAATAGAGGAAGTCGATGGACGCATGTGGCTCAGGAACGTGTTTTGTGGCATACCTTGTGAGAGGCCTGTGTTCAGCAGTGGACTTGTGAAGCGCTGTACTGATGATGATGATGAACCCTTTAGTTCGCAGGTATACCGCTTCGAAGTCTTCGTTTGTTTCGCCAATTCAATACTCCCCGGTCGCATACCTAACTGGTCTTATATAG